GCCACGTCGACAATGTCGCTGCGGTCATCCATCCACCGCTGCACCATCTCTCCTGGCACCGTCGTGGCGGCGAGGTCGAGTGCATTCAGCGGCCGCCCCTTGCGCTGCTGCTGTTGCTGTTGCGGCTGCTCCTGCAGCACTTCGGGGAGGGCGAAGGGGTCCTCCCCGTTGGCCTGCAGCGGCATCATGAAGTCGGGCAGCAGCGCGTGATCGTCCGGAAGCGGCACGCCAATGTCGAGCTCGTCGCCCGGCACCGGGAACCCCGTGGCGAATTCGCCGAGCGCTGCTGTTGCTGACGTTGCGGTGCCCATCACCGCACCGCTGCTACGCGCCTTTTCAATGCTTGGGTTGCTCGACTTCTTGCTGCTGCTGCTGCCACTCACGCGGTCGCCAAAGGCGACAAGGTCAGCACGCATCCGCGCAATCTCATCATAGTCCTGCTGCGTGCTGTGCAGCTCCTCCACCGCCTGCGACGCCGGCTCCACCGCGTACCACGCTGAGGCGAGCAGCGCTGCGGCATCGTCGCCACTTCCGCTGCTGCTGCTCTTCAGCTGCCGCGAGCCATGCAGGAGGTCGGCAATGTCGTCGAAGCGGGCCTCGAGCGCCTCCGCGTCGGTCTTACCCGTCACCACGCCTGCTGCCGCCGCCTCGGCCGCGTCGCTCCAGTTGAACGTCACCGCCTCAATATCGCCGTTGCTGCTGAGCAGCACCCCATCGAGCAGCACCCGCGCCGCCGCCTCCTGCTCGTTATTATGGCTACTCTTACTTTTGCTGCTGCTGCTGCCGCCGCCAATCTCCTTCATGGAGGAGGGTGAGGAAAGGGACTTCGTCGGCAGCGTTGTGACACGCAGCACAAGCGTCGCGTCTGTGGCGTCCTTCAGCAGGTGCTTCACCTTGAGCGCGTAGATGCGCACGACGCCAACAAGCAGCTCACCGCTGGTCCGCAGCGCAATGGGCACCGCGGGCTGCACAATGTCCACAACGGACTGGCGAAGGTCCACGACGCGTACCTCGTTACGCGTCAGTCGACGGTCCCAGTGGGCGGCGAGCCAGATCTTTGCCAGCGGCCCCTTCTTTGTCAGCACATACGTCGAGAAGAACATCCCAGCAACAACGTCTCGTTCTCCGTGTCGTTATGTCTGTCGACTTTCCTTTACCTTTCGTTGCTTGTGTATGGGTCTCTTGTTAGATATGTGACTCTTGCCGATGCCACTGCTCCTGGTCTTTACTCTGGGGCCTGAAGCGGGGGTGACTCGTAGTGCCTTGGCACGTTATTCCTGCAGCAAGCAGCAACGGCAGAGCAGTGTGGTGCAGACACACACGCACATATATATGAGTGTATATACAAAGCAAGAAGGAGAGAGGACGAAACAAATGCATAGCTACACAGAAGAAACATAGATCGATACGCACCACCACCTAATTAGAGTTCCCACCCTCCCAGCCCCCCGGCTGCCCCAAGACATCAAATACGAGCACTACCTCCTCCTCCAGCAGCGGAAACCATTCTTGTTGATGGGTTGTCATTTTTTTTTTTGTATAAGGCACTCATATACACAGAGTCACACCCACACACAGAAAAACAATGGCCATGTGCAACTCTCTACATACATGGAGGGTCCACCGGGACCCAAACAACCATCCGACTAATCATACCAATACAAATAAGCAATA